AAGACACACACTACAGTTCAGGCTGCCCTGGAAATGACTATGGAATTAAGGTATACCCCAGTTAGATCCTGTATTTTAAATGAAAAGATGGATGGTTTTATTCCAAAAAAAAATGTATGGGAAAAATTACTATTTTAGAAACAATTTGATTCTTACTTCATTTAATATGCCAAAATGAATTCCTTTTCAATTAAATAATGAAATGTAAATGTAAACAACTACAAAATAAGTATGAGTTTATATAATTCTCAATGTCAAAGGACTTCTAAGTTTAAAATTTTATATATATATGTATCAAAGTTGGCTGTTTTTGTCTTGTTTTATTTTGTTGGTATTTTGAGATAGGGTCTCACTGTGTAATTTTGGCTGGCCTCAAACTCAGAGATCTGCCTGCCTCTGTCTCCCAAGTGCTAGGATTAAAGGCCAGCATCACTGCGCCCAGCCCCAAAGTTGACAATATTTGACCCCTTAATGATTAGTTATTTCTGCATGTAAAAGCAAAGTCAACTTGAGAGATAGAAACAGAAAGAACAAGAGTTTGAAGTCAGCTAGTGAGATCAAGTCAAGTTTGAACAGCATAGCAAGGCCCTGTTTCAAAAAAAAAGAAAAGATCAGAGCCAATATGCTAAGACTCAATGCAACCAAGAGCTTGGTAAAAAAAAGAAAAATCCCTCAGTGGACGGGGGATATGACTCAGTTGTCAGAGTGCCTGCCTGCCTGCCATATACAAAGTCCTGTGTTCCATTCCCAATACTGCATAAAACTGGGCATAGAAGAACACTTCTGCAATCAGAGCAGTTGGGAGGTGGAGGCAGGAGGATCAGAAGTTTCAGGTAGTAAGTTTAAAGCCAGCCTAGGCTACATGAGACCCTGCCTCAAAACAAAACACCTCCTTCTCCCCCCAAAGTATTCATGTATCTCTGGTAGAAAAATAATTTTGTGCCTTTCTGAGAAATAGTTGAAAAAAAACCTATCAAGAATTTTGAACATTGGGACTAGAGAGATTGCTCAGCAGTTAAGAGCACTGGCTGCTCTTGCACAGGACCTGGGTTCAGTTCCCAGCACCCACATGGCTGATAACAATTATCCATAACTCCAGTTCCAGGGGGTCCATTGTCCTCTTCTGGCCTCTGCAAGCATTGTTTGACACAGGGGCACTTATATGTATGTAGGCAATACACTTATATATATAGTAATAAAATATTTTTAAGAACTTTGAACATTAAGCCAGATATGTTGTCACATATCTGTCATACAGATACTCAGGAGATGGAAGGGTAGTTCATGAATTCATGAGTTCAAGGCCAGTCACAAGTTTGGGGCCAGCCTGGGTTACATGAAACCCTGACCCAATTTTTTAAAAAGGGAGGGGGAGAAATTTAAATATTAACACCACACTCTGACCTTAACCAATTTGCTCTAAAACTGTATCTAGAGAAACTGTTATTTTCTCAAAGCTTCATAAACAAACATTAATCATAGCAGTATTTGAAACAACAAAAATAATTGATAGTATCTTCAATAATAAAGAGAGGAATCAGTTAACCTAGAAGATAAAATATTAAATAGCTATAAGAAAGGTTACTGGAATATAACAGCATGGAAAAATGCTTGCCAAACAGTATGATGTGAGAATGAATTCAAAGGCTGCAGAGATACTTTAATTAGTAAAGTATTTGTCATTGCATAAGCATAAGGACCCAAGTTTGATCCAGCATTCATGTAAAACTGCAACCCTAGCACTGTGGGAAGGAGGGATCCTCAGAGCTCCCTGGCCAGCCAGTCTAACCAATTGATATACTCTGGCCAAGTTCCATGACCTCTACCTCAAAAGATAAGATGGAGGCTGGACGTGGTGGTACACACCTTGATCCCAGCACTTGGAAAGCAGAGGCAAGCTGATCTCTGTGAGTTCAAGGCCAGCTGGGGCTACAGGGAGACCCTGTCTCCAAAAATAAAAATAAAAAATAAGAAAGATGGAGAGCACCTGAGGAACACACCAATGTTGACCTCTGGCCTCCAAACAGGCATGCATGCTCACTAGCACATGTGCACACACACACAAATACACACACACACACACACACACAGAGAGAGAGAGAGAGAGAGAGAGAGAGAGAGAGAGAGAGAGAGAGAGAGAGAGAGAATCAAAGCTCTAAGCATAGTATGAGCCCAGTAATTTTTAGAAATTCATCATTCAAGGAACAGTTGAGTGCCAGCAGTGACCAAAACACAATCCATTGTTTTGTCCAAGTGTATGTCATACAGCTTAATATGGAGCTCCACTGATGGTTGTTGAAAGAATTTCAATAGGAAATCAAGTAAAAAGAATAAGCTTTTAGCCTGGTGTGGTAGCTCATACCCTTAATTCCAGCACTTGAGAGGCAGAGGCAGGAGGATCTCTGTGAGTTCAAGATCAGCCTGGTCTATACAACGAGTTCTAGACCAGCTGGGGCTACAGGGAGATCCTGTCTCAAAAAGACCAAAAGAAATAAAAAAAAAAAAAAGCTTTTAAGAACAAGCCTCAATCAGAGGCAGAAGCGAGGAGGAGTCTGTCTCCATGGTCTGTGTTCCAGGAAAGAAATGGACAGTTTAGTATCTAATGGCAACTCTCTGTGAGGAGGCAGCAAGGCCAGTACTATTGGGATGCCCAGCACCCCACAGTCCCAGTGCACTGGAGAGCAAAGGGGACAAAGATAAGAAAGACATGGTCAAGGAGCTTACCAATCAACTTGGCAAGGCAAGATTAAAATTATGAAAATAAAACAGTGATAAATGTAGGGCTGGGGTATAGCTCAGTTGGTAGGGTGCTTGCCTGGTATGTATGAAGTAGCCCTGGGTTCAGTCCCTAACACTGCATAAACTGGGCTTAGTGGGACATGCCTATAGTCCCAGAACTCTGGAAGTAAAGACAGGAGGATGAGAAGTTCAAGATCATCCTTGACTGAGTAGTAGCTTCAAGGTCAACCTGGACTGCATGAGACTTTATCTCAAAAAAAAAAAATTAAAGTTAAATGCAATCAATCTCTGAAGTTCATAAGTATACCATCCTGGCCTATTTGAGGGCATTAACTTTCCTTTTTGTATATTTAGACTTTGACATCCTGGCTGATATATAGGAAATAATAACAAGAGGAAAACTTGTTTTTAACAATTAGCAGCTAGAATTTCAAGGTCGACAGATATTTTAGACATGTGTTTCTTAAGCAGAAAAAAAAAGAAAAAAGAATAGACTCCTTTTGAAAGATACAATTACCTAGGGGTATAAAGATGAGTTTATGATGAAATACACAAAAATTCAATTAAAAAAATTTTAAAGATATAATTACCAGTAATAGGTCAAAATTTCCTTAAAGGGTAATTCTAGAACCTCAGCAAGATAAAGAATCCACGGGTCTGAAGAAATGGCCCCATTGCTAACAATCTTGCTGAGCAAGCTTGAGGACCCAAGTTCAGATCCCCAGTACCCACATAAAAAGCCAGGCACGGTGATGGGCATCTCTAACCCCAGTGCTGGGAAGGTGAGGATAGAAGCTCCCTGGAGCTTGTTCACGAGCCATTCTCTACACATGGATGAGCTCCAAGTACATCTGGTAAAAAGTACTTGCCATGCAAAACTGACAGCCTGCAGTCAGTTTGATCCCTGGAACCCAGCTGAGGACAGAGCCAACTCTCAAAAGTTATCCTCTGACCTCTACACACATGCCATAGCACTCAGCCCACATTCACATGCATATGACATATAAACATGTACGCATTGGTCTCAAAACAAAAAAACTTTCAAATCTGGATTTCAGAAAATCTGAATTTTTCTTATCATACTGCAGACTAGCTTTATAATCTACTGCAATAGTGAGCATAAAATACTTAAATAATGAATATATTTCATATAATCAACCTCATTTCACCATTTCAACTCCACCAGTACTTCCATCTCATTCATAGAGGAGGAAACAGGCTCTGGGTGAAGTCACAGAGCTAATAAACAGAGCAGGACAGTCATCCTTTCTGGGCACATTTCAGGAGATACACAGAGAAATGGCTCTTAACCAGCATGCTGCTCCCCAGACTTGGATGCTACCAGTGTTCTCTACTTGAGGTAAAATGTCCTCTTAATCTAGAATTATTGGAGCTTGGAAGATGGCTCAGTGGTTAAGAGCATTGACTGCTCTTACAGAGGACCTGGGTTCAATTCCCAGCACCCATATGGTGGCTAACAACTGTCCATAACTTCAGTTCTAGGGGATCCAACACCCCCTTCTGACCTCTGTAGGCATTGCATGACATGGGTGCACTTACATATATGCAGGCAATACATTCATACACATAAAATAAAAATAATAAATTTTTTTTGTCTTTTCGAGACAGGGTCTCCCTGTAGGGCCAGCTGGCCTGGAACTTGCTATGTAGACCAGGCTGGCCTTGAACTCACAGAGATCTGCTTGCTTCTGCCTACCAAGTGCTGGGATTAAAGGTGTGCACCACCACACCCAGCATGAATAAAAAATTTTTTTTAAATATCTAGAATTAGCAGTGGGTGTTGCAGTTAGCTTGGCTGTCAACTTGACACAAATCTAGAGCCACCTGGGAAGAGGCAACCTCAATTGAGGAATTTCCTCTAACAGACTGGCCTGTAGGCACGTCCATGGGGCATTTTCTTGATTGCTAATTGATGTAGGAGGACCCATCCCATAACCCTGCCACACACACACAAATAACTGTAAAGAAGAATTAGGTAAAAAAAAAAAAAAAAAAAAAAACATGACCAAGCAAAATAAACACCAAACAAACAGACCCCAGTCAAAGATTCTGGAAAAGATTAAGTAAATGGTAAATACATACACCCTCCACACAACCCACTCCCAAATACATATATTCCTCTGAGCAACTCAAGCTCATGTGTACAGTCAGGCTGGTGGTGACAGTTCTGTCAGGTCATCTCTGAAAAATTGAAAACAAAAGTGTGAAAACTAAAGAAGGGGTTTACAGTAGTCTTGTACCTTGAATGCTTCTTTTGAAAAAGGCCTTGCATCCTTCACATGACCAGACACCATAGTGATACCCAGATGCATAGTCACTGCAGACTGCACAGAAGTGAGCGTCCCTCTTTGAACTTGGACTAGTTACGGGGCTGGCACAACTGCTCCCACTAACCTTCCTTTTCAGTGTCTCTCTGGCCGGGCAGAAAAAAAAAATTATCATTGTTAGAGAACACAAAAGGGAGAGGAAAGGCTTTCCAGAAAAAACGTGAATGTTATATTCCAGGAAATCTGACATCAGATCACAAAGAGCTCCACTGTGGGGGAAGACTGACATTTGAGTGGTTGGATGGTGAGCACTAGTCCTGAGAACACTGTGAAGGAGGCTGCGGCTTAGGGCTAGGCTTCGGTGAGGCTCTGTGGAGGGAGCGTCCAGCAAGGGAGCACTGGGAGCGCCAACACAACTGGCTAGCTTCTAATTTTGCTATGACATATTTCTTTTGGAAGGGAACTAGTAAAGGTATTATTGATTTATAAATGAAGGAAATTTTCCCACAGTTAACTTTGTCCAAATATTAGCAAAACTTTGATTAGAATTCAAGTTCGGAGGTAAAATAGTTCTTTAAAAGGGATGAAAATGAAGAACATTAATTTTAAAAATGATGGTTAAGTGTTTTCTCCCCCTATTTAGAAGCCTTTGAGAGGAACTGACACTGATTCTAGCCACTCCAACAGCTATCAAAGTGCCTGAAAACAAATATTTTCTCAAATTTGTTTGGGTTTGGTTTGGGCTAAGCATGTACTCTAGCACTGAGATTAGCACCGAGCTGGACACTCCAGTCCCTGTTTTCTCCAAGTTTTATAACAATATTTGAAAGTAATGGAATGTAATTTCAGTATTCAGTATGTCTTGTCTTAGTACCCTGGTTGTTTCAGGATTTTATTTCTTCCTCCCACCTCTCCAAATATCATTCTCTCCTGCCACATTCATTGTCCTCATTAAAAAATCTTTCAAACCAGACTGAAATAATCCACCATGTTACTGTGCATTTAGAGTTCATTTTTTTTTTTGAGACAGTGTCTCCCTCTAGCCACTCCAGCTGTCCTGGAGCTCACTATGTAGACCAGGCTGGCCTCAAACTCAGAGATCCCCGTGCCTCTGCCTCCCAAGTGCTAGGATTAAAGGCTTGTACCACCAAGCCTGGATAATTTTTTTTTTTTTAACTTCAGAAAATTTCAATAGAATCAGATTTGAGTAGCTTCTCATTGATCCTTACAAAATGTTACCTTAGCTCATTGCTGAAGCTGATGTCAATTACCTCCCAGGCTTTGAAGGGCTATTTCATGAAAATTGTAGTGTTACCACAGTGACCTTCATCCTAGAAACAATTCGTCATGAACAATGAAACTCTAACCTGACATTAAAAAAAATTTCAAGGGAGGTAGAGAGATGGCTCAGCAGTTAAGAGCACTGGCTGCTCTTGCAGAGGACCCGGGTTCAATTCCCAACACCCACATGGCAGCTAACAACTGTCGGTAACTCCAGTTCCAGGGGATCCAATGCCCTCTTCTGACCCCCGCATGCATTGTGCAATACAAGTGCACTTACACACATACAGGCAATACAGTCATACACATAAAATAAAAAAAAAAATAAAAGTAGGGGCTGGAGAGATGGCTCAGTGGTTAGGAGCACTAGCCATCCTTGTAAAAGACCCGGGTTCAAATCCCAGCACCCACATGGTGGCTAATAACTATAACTCTTGTTCCAGCAGTTCTGACGTCCTCTTTTGTCCTCTGCAGACACTGCATGACTCAGGTGCACTTACATACATGCAAGTATAACACTTATACACATAAAATAAAAATAAATTAAATTTTAAAATTTTTTAACAAATAAATATTTTTAAAATTTCTAATACAAATCTCTCACCAAAAACAGATATGAAAGTGATTTCTTTCCACAACACCCATTTATAAGCACAGCTTTTTAATAAGAACTAGACTATCGGAATAGGATGGAACATCATGTTTCAGGTGTTCTAAGTAATATGGCTGACAAAATAAAGACCTTATATAACATATGTCTTCTTAGTAAATAATAAAGTGATAGCAATGCCCATAAGCCATGATTTAGATCGAAGACAAGACTTTACCTGTTCACAGGTAAGGGGTGTTCCAGTGATCTTGATTCACACCAAGGACTCTTCTGAGGTTCTGCATACAGAAGTGACGACTGGCAGTGGATGGCTAAAGGAGAGAGGTGCCCAGGAGTTGGCCATAACACACCTGGACTCACGGTCTGTCTAACAGACCCCCCTTCTGGGTTATTGCCACTGTTGGGAACGCTGTAGTTCATCACAGTAGGACTATAGAATGTCATAGCTGAGTATTCATGGCGGCTGTCTACATAGGAGGAAGGGATGTAGATGGAACCATGCTCCAGCGGTAGGATAGACTGACTACAGTTGTAAGAAGCAGGAGAATTAAGGCTCGATGGTGAATTTTTTATATCCATGTCTTGAACAGGTAGCAGCTGAGAAAACTCCTTGTGAAAAGAGGCACAAGTGGACATTATAATGTTCTCAAAGACCCATAGGCAGGTGGAATGCCTGCAAAGTAAAACAAAGGTTGCTTCTAAGTTAGTGCAAGCTGCAGGAGTCACCAATAAAAAGTATTCACTTTAGTTGAGGCAGTGGTACTTACCTGGAGTCCCAACAATCAGGGAGACTGAGGCAGGAGGATTTTGAGTTCCAAGCTGCCTGGAATACAAAGTACGACACTATCTTTTAAAAACAACGGGGCTGGCAAAGTAGCTCATTTGGTAGAGTGCTTGTGTAGCATGCAGAAAGCCTGACTTTGATCCTCAGCACTACATAAAGCTTCTCTGTGATCTCAGCATTCAGAAGCTAGAGGCAGGAGGATCAGAATTTCAAGGTTATTTTCTTGTCAGGAGAGGGAGGGAAGGGAA